AAAAAAATCCTAGCTAAAAGGAGCATACCAAAAGCTTTGGATTAAAAGATTATTTTGATTTAACACTATAATAAAAACATAAAAGGTTTTGTTTTAGATTTTATAATCTACCTATATACAAAGGGTATCGCAACAATGCTTGCATTCAAATACCAACATTCTGTTAATATTGTTTACATTGTTCTTTTTAGTCTACATTTAATACTGATTTGTTCTATCGTCCGTCTATCTATCTATCTATCTATCTATCTATCTATCTATCATCCATCCATCCAGTTTGGTGTAGTGGTTAAGGCATCAGGCTAGAAACCAGGAGTCCCACCTTAGGCATGAAGCCAAGTGGGTGACCTTGCGCCAGTCACTCTCTCTCAGCCCTAGGGAGAAGGCAATGGCAAACTACTTCCGAAAAACCTTGCCAAGAAAACTAGTCCAGGCAATCAGCAGGAGTCAACACTGACTTGAAGACACAGTATGTGTGTGTGTAATGTGTGGGCACACATGTTTGTGTACACACACACACACATACATCAGTATATTAAACAATGAACAGCAAGGTGATTAAGTGCTCATATACAACAAATCTAAATTGGCTGATGCTTTGAAACTCTGCCTTCTATACAAGAAGGCACCCGGGGAAGCTGCATCTCCTCAAATATTGTAATGCATTTTATTCTCTTTGAAGTTGGTTTTTGTTGTTTACACCAGAATCTTTCAGTCAATTAGACTACCCCGGAGGCTTCTGAAATACTTGGGCTGTGCTCAGCATGTACAGGGCTAAACAGATCATATGTCCGTTCCATGCATAAAAACAAACAATAATTGGTCCTCCTGTAATAGAGGATACAGTATTCTATACTATATAGAATACCAGGGAAATACTGCAGAGACTAGAACCCCTACCTCGCTTAAACAAATAATCCCCATTAGTTTTTCTTAGATAAAAATTATGTTGTTTCATTTTGCCAAAAATATTTTGTTAATTTCATGCAGAATCCTTTCTTGTTTTCTTTAATTTTCTCTCCTTTGTTTTATGAAGGGTAAGTAGGGTACTTGAAAGCAAATATATTTTACCCTGAATATGAAGTCAACATCTCTTAGCAGTCAACATCTCTTAGCACAGAGCTTGAGCAAAGAAACATGACCTGCCTTGGTGCCAAAAGTGAAGCACTGGAGGCAACCACTTTCCTTTGCAGACCAAGTACAGGGATGGTATACCTTGACCAGCTGCTTTGCTTTGAGGCATATGGCTGTGTGGATGCACAGAATATCATTTTCAACCAAATCACCTTCAAATAGATCATCCAGTTGAAGATTTGCACAACTCAATTGCTTAGGTTATGAATGCAGCTGCTCTTCTATTCACTGGGAGGCCTGACTCTTACCCCGAATCGACCAATACCTGGCATCATTATGAGGTGAAATGTGATCCAAGTTCCTTGCTGGTGACAGATCTGACCAGGGATATATGACACTATATTTACTTCACTTATGCAAGATACGTATAAGAACTTATGCATTACCAGCTGCATGTTCCTTTTTCAATATTTCATTCTGTGTCAGTCCAGGAAAGGGAATAGACTAGTCCCTGGTCAGAGAAAAACATAATCAACTCTCTCTCTCCCCCTTCCTCCCTCCCTCCCTCAATAAAGAAGCCAAACAGCTAGCACCCTTAAGTAGAATATAGAGCTTGGAGCTTGTGATCAGAGCAAGGCAACAGGAACAAGGGATTTTGTGTGAGAGATGATGAGTTCTGCCACTGATCTGCTGAGTTTTGGGTAGGGAGATTTGGTTGATTGTGTAGAGCTTTGGGGTTTCCTGGTTGAGGGTCTGTGTGTTTGCTGGAGTACATGGTTGAAGGGGAACATGTTTACAGTCGCCACTGATCTAATAATCAGGGCAGCAGCCAGTAGGTGGAGCCACATTGCTAAGCTACCCATTCAGTCTTAGCCAGCACTCTTTAGAAAGCGGACAGGAAGCTGAATGCTCAGAAGCAAAGAAAGTAAACAGGATTAAGACTATATGTGGAAAATAAAAACTAATACAAACTAATATAAAGGAAGAAGAAAAAAGAAAAAGAAAGAAACCAAAGGGAAAGCTAAAAGTGCAAGAAAGGAAAATAAAGAAAAAGAAAAAAGATACAAAGAAGTGGCTTCTTTCTTTACAGCAGTTATAAGTAGAATTACAAATTTACCTCTTACTCTATGGTTCCAACATGATTCTCTTCTTTCTATAATCTATCCTATCTAATCGTCAAAACCATAAATCATAAGTTCATTTTTTTTCTTTTTTACACAAAAAGTCCATAAGGGGTTTCCAAAAACATAGATATTGTCTTTTCTCTGATCAAAGAAGTCAATTTAGCCATCTCAGCAAGTTCCATCATCTTCACCAACCATTCCATGGTGGATAATGCCAAATCTTCCATCTTTGTGCATACAATAATCTCGCTGCAGTAGGATTAAGAGTTTTTGAGGAAATTTAGTGCAAGGCAGAATAGAATGACCTAGTTCCTTCCAAAAAGATAGATACTGAGGGAGCAGCAGTGGTGACTCGTCAGGTTTGTGCTATGTTTGTGAATATGCTAATTACACCCATTGTAAGTACAGGCCTGTCTGCTTGCTGGAAGAGGAGGTAATGAAAGCCAGAGAGTTTAAGACACATTGGAAAAGGTTTTGCACAAAAAGCTCTCCAATAAGGCCAGCAGAATAAGACCTCTGAGGAAGAACTTGTTCAGAAATGAGACAGAGGGGTCCCAAAGAGAAGGAAGACATTTCCATGGGAGTAGTAAGTACTTAGAGGCATGTGGCAGAAGAGGGTGGACAAACCAGGAGGAGATCCATGCCACTGGAGCTGACCAAACAGCTAGAAGCTCTGAACATGGTAGGCAAGCTCCAATCACCTGAGAGAGTCCTATCATCCTTACTTCTGCCAAACAGTAGAATGAACACTTAACCCTGCAGAGATTAAGAAAACCTAAGTTCTCCCCTGAGAAAAAAAGAAGAGTGGTGAGAGAAGACTCTTTAGTGAGAGGGACAGAAGTAGCTGCGTGGATCAGTTAAAGTATTGCAAGATCTATTTTTCTTGCACGTATCCAGGACATGGTAGAAAGACTACCAAGGCTTATCAAACAGACTGACAGGTATCCATTCCTGCTTACCCACACAGAGACAAAGGACACTGCTCAAAGAAGATAAATACTTCAGAGAATTTAAAAAACCCTAGTTTGGAAGGGGAAAGATTGGGGGCACAAATAATGTTATCATCCATTCTCCCCACTGGTGGTCAAAGGACAAGAACAGAAAGCAAGATCCTTGGCATGAACAACTGGCTAAGAAGATAATTGAGAATTGCTGATCATTAGGAACATGGGCCCACATAATAATAGAGAAGAGGATGAGGCAGGAAAGAGTTAGGGTTACTTTAAATCCTCAACACATGATAATAGGGATTATAGACACACACAGAGACCATTATTTCACTGCCTATCCAAATCACTGTGATTGGGCCATTTTGAGTTGAGTCCAGACCCATCTATAATTGTTTCCAACTTTCCTTCTTCTTTTCAAGGCACTTTAAGCGAGCCCGTTGGCTACGACATGCCTATTTGTAACACATTAGAATGAACAATTGGGCAGGTCCATCCCACCATCAGGTGAATTAAGAACTATTCCAGATTGTTTCAATCTGTACCATGTTATAGCTTTTCTCTGAGTCAGAGCATAGTTTCAGTAGTTTTGTTATGGGCCCCAAATTTATAGTTGAATATGCTCTTATAAGTGTTACACTGACACAATTGTTTAGGCTATCACTGATGTAATTGTGTAAAAAGAGAAGATGCAAATAAGATGTAATATTCTAATATTCACATGTATCTGGAGGCCTAATATACTAATATCTGCCTACAGATACAGGGGTCATTTGTATTAAAGTAATATTTTCTGGGCAAATCAGTGAGTTTGTCTCTGCCTTTGGATTAAGGCTGCAATGCCTCATGGACTTTTCCAAATACATTTCATATGACAAGTATTTATTTACTAATGCACATTTATTGCACTTACACCCCACCACAGAGCAATGATTCTTGACAACTTATGCAATGTGTAATGGGGAAAACTATTTAAAACATCCACAGTATGATTAAAATGACTAATTTGATTTTTTTTTTATCCTAGTGTTTTTCCCACATGTGCACAGCCCACTTCTTTGTTTTTTCGGATCAACCAAATGTGATTAAAACAAGTAATTTGAATAACAGTCATAAAACCCCAAATAGAGAAACCACAAGCCTCTGGTTGAAAAAAAACAAAACATGTTGTGGAGTACTGATGAGATCCTTAGCACTGCTGAAGTTTAAGTAGAGACTCCCTATAACCACCTAAACATTCAGTACCATTAATAATTGTAGGTGGATATGAATATATTAGGGAACCAGATACTCACAGTTTGACATCGGCAAAGATAAGCTAAAAAGCCTTTTAAAATATATTTAGAGAAGTACATGCTGGTTAATTGTCCAGATAACTCTGTTATTCAATCAATGCCTATAGGGCCCTTATGCCTTGACAAAGACAGGTATTTGCCTATAGATACCACAGTAATTTCTATTGTGGAATGAATGCTATATGCACAGTAATTTGGGGGGG